CGTTTAACTCTGTACGTAAGCCCCCTTCACACACACAACACACACACATAGCACACCACTGGTTACAGTATAGCTGTACCTAAATGATTAATAAAAGTGAAAGTGATATATTTTGTGAACATAATTTGGTAAGGTTAGATTAGATTTAACTACTCATAATATAATATAGGTACATAATATATAGGGAAATGGAATGGGAATCGGTTTTACACGTTAGGTAAGTACTGAAATATTGAAAAAATTATACCAACGACCAAGTGTAGGTATCTGTGTGTTATACTCGAGATATGGCGTCAGAATTTCCGCTATATACTATATTATAATATTTTAAGAGTAGATATATCTAAACATTGCAGTCCACATAAGATATTATAATAATATATAAGTACGGAAATGTATATATGATAGAAAATGGGCTGCTGCGGGATATAGAATAAAATTCGTTAGCATATATTTGCAAGTCGTCATTTCTTGACTTCAGAGGATTTTTATTCTCAAAACCTACTTTAAAAAGTTTGTTATAGGTGAGAAGAACGATGTATTTACTTAATCAGCTTTTATGTGTTGTTAAATGGTATAAATGCGTTGGGACGGTACATAATAATATTATATTGTATTTTATTATACTATTTCGTAACAGACGCAATTATGTGGTGAATCTACACAGCACGCGATTGCAAAAACGAAAAACGAAGGATCGTAACTAGGTGGTATACGCTTGCAGTGTCTCAATAAGAATAATACATAGCTAACAGAAATGACCTAATAACATTCAATCGTGCGCTCATTGCGCGCTCAGGCCTCGCTTCATTTCAATCGTTTGCATATAATATATTATTATTATAATTATTCACATATAGCCGTGGAAATCATAACATAACACTTTTTAGATCTCGCTCTGATGATTTATGATTTATAAACATTTTATGAGTTTGTTATACACACTGCTGTGTACATTACGAAATTTAATATGCGAAATACGAAATTACAAAGTGCGTATAACTTTGTGTTGGATGTTCTCGTTTCATTGTGCAATTTCGTCCATTCTGAACAAAAAAATACGAATAATAGGTGTTCTATCTTGTAATAACTATATTGTCTGTATTACAGTCTCTGTATAGGGTATATTGATTCTTTTAAGTGGGTACGCTAATTATCTCGAAAAGTATTTACTTTTTTCAAAATATTTTTTTACATGGTTTCAAGTTGTTAAAAGAACAACATTTTTATTAAAAAATTATATTTTTAAATATTTTTTATCCTTATCATTTTTTACTTTTTTGAATGACAACATAGAGTTTTGATTTCATATTCCAAAGCAGAATATTTTTTTAAGTATTTTGATTCATAAAAATCGAATTTAAGACGAGTAGTTTATGAGTTATAAGTATTTTAAGTTTAGATTGGCAGAGTGGAGTGGTACGTGGTTATTATACGTGGCGATATCACTAAATTTATCTGCTGGTAAATTCCAACTGCTAATAAAGTTGAAAGTGTGGCGCAAATTATTACATATTCCATTTTGTTTTCTTTAGTGGCGCAAAATACCAAAATTAATTAGTATATGTGGCGCAAAATACATGTTATATTTTTATATTTTGGCGCAAATTACATACGTACTTAAATGTWCYTATTYGTGGCGYAAATTACAAGTAATAAAAGTGGCGCAAAATACCATCTCCCGGGTGTACATAATCTACGCGTACCTCCATATTTTCAATTTGGTCAACACTGATATAGTGGACAATAATTATTATAGTCAAACAACATTTTCCTTCGCCCTTTAGGCGAAGCCCTTAAGGCTGAAGACTTTCAGTATCATCATATTCTGATGTTATAGACTGGCGGGTTTAAAAATGTTTTTTTAGTTATTTATTTTAGAACAGCTTCCGTAGAAACATTATTCACAATTTTGTCAAATTACAATAAATTACGGTACTACTCCTGTCTGATAAAGCGGCCCATACACCATCAATATTGACCGTGTATTGGCTGTATTGAAGGTACTTCAATTTTTTTTAACGGGTGATCATTGATATCAATAATATTGAACGTGTTGGGCAGCTTAAGACACCCTGTACACCCAAAACTGTATCTAAAAGCTGGTTTTAATTGTTTATTATTTTGTGCGCAAACGAGTTGTCGTAAATTTAAAAAATATATGAAAATGTGCGCAAACGAGTCTCCACCGTATTTAAAGTTTATGAGTTATGTGTATTTAAAGTTTTTACAAGCGGAGTAGTAAACAAAAATTTTGCGGGGTACCACTCCACTCTGCCAATCTAAACTTAAAATACTTATAACTCATAAACTACTCGTCYTAAATTYGATTTTTATGAATCAAAATACTTAAAAAAATATTCTGCTTTGGAATATGAAATCAAAACTCTATGTTGTCATTCAAAAAAGTAAAAAACTTAAAAAATGATAATGATAAAAAATATTTAAAAATATAATTTTTTAATAAAAATGTTGTTCTTTTAACAACTTGAAACCATGTAAAAAAATATTTTGAAAAAAGTAAATACTTTTCAAGATAATTAGCGTACCCACTTAAAAAAATCACCCTTTATATTAATATATTATGTTAATTATACATCCGATTTTCAGTCGAACAATTTGTTTTTTGTTTGTAGGTATAGTCAATTTTAGTTTCATCCATGCTAATTTACCATACCATGAGATAATATTATATTGAAATAATCAAATGTCAACATTATAATATTATTATTGTACCTATAATCACGTGGGAGTATGATAACTCATAATTATAGGCATTAGGCAATGCTTAAAAATCACAATCAAACAAAAATGTCAACGATATTATCTTCCGAAAATCAAACATCCAATGTCTGTCTACAGTAAATTATTAAAATTGTATTCCGGTGATCGCATGTAGGTACCTTGCAAGTAATAACATAATATATTTTGATAAAAAAGAAAAAAAACGACCGTACTCTAACCTGACGATAACATGTGCAAGCTTATGAGATTGTGTACGTAGATTTTATGTCATTATGTTCTTGTAAACATTTCTGACTGGTTCTGCCCGCATTACGTAACCGTTAATATATAATTATAATAATACGTCTAAACGGAACGGCATGTGTGGTGAAGGGTAGGGAGTGGGCGTCAGGCGCGTACACTCGCTCGCTTGCTGTTGCTACGTTAAGAATTGCCGGTGCCCGGTCAACCAGTGGGAACGAAAGAGGGAGTGCGGTGCACACGTGCTTTACTTATGAATTTACGTTGGTCATGTATCGGTTGGACTGGTTTAGTGTTAGTGATATAGCAAAAATAATAATATAACATAGTATTTTACAATTTATGATCATCGGAGTTGTAAGTCGTTAACAAATAGTAAATACGCGTCTTGAAAAATAAATAATGTACTCAAGAGAGCCAAGACTCGATTTAAACGGATGAAATAAAAAGTAACTGATCACATTTTCGTATGCGATGATAACGCATTCGGCACAGATGGTCGATGCCAAATAATTGTTATATTAAACACATATACATAGTAAGTACTAAGTAGGTTCTACAACTCCTACTACCTGTATAATATGGGCAAATATAAAGTGACATACATTTGTAGTGTTTTTACCTTTTATCACGTGCCATGACGGTAATCTATCGCAGTTGCAAGTGACGTTACGTTTTAGGGGTAGGTGTTTTCCATCCATAGTACAAATATATTTTTAACTTTGTAAGATAGGTTATATACAATATATACGATGCATCAAAAATTATTTTTATTTTTTTCAGTCGTGTAGGCTTGACAACAACTGCTATGAATGCACGAATTTATTTAAATAGTTTGTTATGTTATTTGGTATGAGTGATGATGATGTTCACATGTTGTGCACTGTTCGCAGGTTAATGTCGTTCTTCAGTCAAGAGTTGGGAGTTAGGATAAATGATTTTATGGCCAAAGTGGTAGCAAACGATAAATTATCCGGTCTCTACATCGGTACTTATGGCAGCAGTGAACCTGTTGCACTCCGCCAGGAGCAACAGCAACATCAGCAGCTGAAACAACAACACCAACAACAGCAGCTGCAACAGCAGCAACATGAGGAACTGCAGCAGATCCGAAATGGCAGTGTCCAGGTCGGTTACGACAATTTGGACAAGTGCATCGCGTACGCCGATTCGGTGGCCAAGTGCGGCAGAGTATGCGAATCCCTGTATCTGTACGCCCAGTGTTTCCGGGTGGGCCCACTACCAGCCGACTGTCTGTGGCACGTGACCTCGGCTTTCCTCGACCTGATCCGACAGCAGTTCGACGACTCCCAGACAAGCCCAAAACCATCGTCACCGCCACAACAACAACAACTACTACTACTACAGCAGCAACACAACAACCATCAGGAACACCAAAGCCACATCCATCATCACGATACCCGGCAAAACCATCAGCAGCAACAGTCCTGTCCGTTCGTCTGCTGCGCTTGCAACCTAGTGCTTCGAGAACCAATCACGTTGCTATGCGGTCACACGTGTTGCCGGAGGTGCGGGGGTGGTGCCGTCTGCAAACCGTTAGTGTGCCACAAGTGCGGTGGGCGCACGCCATTCCAGCCACACGTAGACGTACTCGTTAAGTCGTTGGTCGAGAAATTGTGGCCAGTGCAGTTGCGGGCCTCCGAGCTGCTGGACGAGGGAAAGGCCTTGTACAGACAGGGCAAGATCCACGCGGCCCTCATAAAGTTCAACCAGGCGTATTACACCGGTATGAAAATAGAAATTTATTTATTTTTATTATTATTATTATTATTATTATACGATAGTGATGTAATCTACGATTATTATAATAGATTTGAAAATTAAAATATCAAATTTCGCACAAATTAGAACTTCAAATATCTATGTATTTAAAAAAATCAAGTTTTTAGATTTTTCAAACTTTTTGACCGAGTAAAAAACATGTTCTTTTTTACAGAAAAAAATAAAAAGTCGATAATGTCAAATTTCTATAGCTTACAAAGCGTTACAACCTT